GTTTTAACGCGCGTTACGTGAAATCATTTCGCATCGTCTTCTTTTATGCGCACGCACTGATTTAATAGCGTAATGTTGTCGCTTACGTAATTTTCGCGATAGTACGTAGTTCGCTATTTCATGCACACTGATTTATCGCGCTGGAATCCCGTCAAATTAGCACTTGACGAACAGTTGGTGTATTTCATTTGTGGAACTACGCAACAACAAATTTAATAATACGTATTTAATAATACGTATAAAACTATAATTATTTATTTATGAACATCGCCATTTTTATGTTTTTTTAAGTAAAATAGTTTAGATATGCGATGTATAAAATATTACATCAAAAGATTTTATTAAACTATTTTTTTCAGTTTCAAACACAATCACTTCAATCAAAATTTAACTAAAATATTAAAATAACTGTTATTAAAACGTAACAGCGATACACGCATTTTTAACGAATAATTACGATTGCATTTTCTTGCATGTGTAATTAAATCTATTATAAGATATCCTGCAATGTAATATTGGGAGTATACAAGTACCATGTCGTTAAAAAACTGTAGTTGATCTTAAATAACCATGTTTTGTTTTCATTGAAACTTTTTCATTGAAAATCATGGTTTTTTTTCCATTGAACCGTACAAATCACGCGAGTTATTCTATTCAGCGCGCTATTCTAGCCAAAATCAATCGAGTTCAAGGTAAACAGTAATCTTTTTTTTTATTGTAGGTGTGGTTTCAACCTTGTTTAACCGTCTAATTACCATCGTCATTTACATGCATATGTGTGACTCAATAGCGGAGCGTATTATGGTGTGCGTTGTTACACTTGAAAGGATACAACGTATTAAAAGCGCAATTTAAGCCTGTTCCGTAATGCGTCATCCTTCTAAGAAATGAGTAAACATGTACCTCAAGATGTCGGTCTGTATATAAATAAGCGTATTTTTTACTCGTAAAGTGGAGTTTTTCTATTATCACTATCGTGTGTTTCTCTGTTGAATATATCCGCTCATGCATACATAATGACGAAAAAACGGTGGGCGCGACACACGAAAGCTAAATCTAAAGAAACGAGGAAACGAATGATATCTTGCAAACGTCATTGATATCGTTAACCCACTCGTTATCACACTTTGTTATAAGAAATTTGTTATGTTATCGTAGTTCATAAATTACTGGCTACGTTCGGCGAAACAAAGTGCCCGCTAAGCAATTAATATGATTATTGGATTTAATAAAATAAATTTTAAATGCCAATCAAATCCAATTATTATTATTCGCTCAATGAGCGCTTCGTTCTGCTGAAGGCAGCCACAGTGTAGATACTTAATAAACACGCTGAAAAATTTTCTACACAATTCCAATTGTGATATTAATCAAAAATATACAAATAAGCAAGGAATTTTACCTCGTTTGACGATTTTGCGACAAATAGGTTTCGAGGTTCCATATCCGGTTGGATATTGCTCGCAAGTTCTTATAAGGAATGCAGAGGAATGGTCTGTGGTGTTCATCGGATCATCGCACATAGTGTTCACGTTGGATGAACAAACCCAGCATCGTAAGGCAGAACCTGTTAGACGCATGACAAATTCATAAAATTATTTTATGATTTGAATTCGGCGCAAACAAATACAATACAAGTTTATGTGACTATTATCGTTACTTTAGATATCTTAATTTTATCATATTTTAACAATTTGACATCGTAAGTGTTTGATATGCATCAGAGATCAAATATATAAGATTGAAAAATAATATAGCATATTATAAAAAATGAAATTTATTAATAAAATATATATTTTTTAGTTTTTTAGCCTAACAATATGATGGCAGGAATATTTAGACATACCATGTTCGATTTATAAAAACGTCTAACAAATATAAATTAATTTAATAAATATTATAGTATATGCAATTCCCAACATCAGGTAATACATTGAACAAATAAAGGAACGTATATTCAACGTCGAAACGTCGAAATAAAATTAAATATGATGGCTACGGATATATTTTTCTCTTGCGGAATATTATCTGTGTGTGCGCTCAAACTGTACTTGTAAAATATAAATTAAAATTTGCAAGGATAAATTGGAATACAAATTATGGAAGATTCCTGCGCAATACTATAATAGAAAACAAGTGTAGTATGATTAAAAAGTGACGTAATGCTGAGTAACCGTCTATATTAATGTTGCACGCCAGTTCTACACACAATCAGGTTGTCGCCATTGTGAAAATGCATTGAGGCGCGACACAGCATGTAACTTGGTAGGAAATGTCACGAAAAAGAATATTATATGAGATCAAGGTGAGAGATATCGTGTTTACAACATACACGTAACAAAAAATTTACAATTTTGTATTACAATAATAAAAAAACATTCAATAAGCAACTATATTTCTAAGACCATATGATCAGAATGACGAAGATATTCTGATCATATGCTCTTAGATATTTTGACAGTGCGAATAAATAAAAAGTTGAAAATTGTGGAAATTAAATGGAAAGCAATTAATGTAATGTAATGTACGTAATGATATATTTTATAATAGGAATTTATTACATATTACATAGACACACACATTTTAAAAATAATATTTTAAATATTTTCAGTATCTGTTGAAAAGACAGGATCTCCGATAGAGCGACTTCGATAGATTTGTTCAAAGTTGTTCAGAACAGTCATAATACTTAATATTTTTCGTTCTTGCAGTTTTTATGAAAAAGAAATCTTTTCCATAAAAACCTTCATCAACTTTTCACTTCAAAGTGTAAAAACTCACCTGATGTAACCAGAAGGACCACCCCGAAAACCATTAATACGGCGCGTTCGCTGGACATCATCTTGGATATTAAATGCAATCGTTGAAAACAAACTGACTGAAAAGTAAATGCTGTGCCAGCGATTACGTTCTCGAAAATGATAATGGGTGTTGCCAAGCGATCGAGATGACCGTTTGGAAACTGCCGATGTCGAACGTATCCAGTGTGATACTGAGGAACCAACACCCTCTTTACCAAGAGCACTCTTTTTATTTCTCCCCCTCTTCTCTGTATTTTCCTCTCTTTGTCATTCTACGAAGGTTCTTTTTCGCCTAACGCGTTGTTTCTTCCTCCATGTAACAAGTACACCGAGCATAAGTGTCGAAGATATAAATAGTATTTTAACACACTTTTTCGTCAGTTATATAATTTTTTATTTCTGTGAAATCAATCCTTTTACCGTAAAGATTGAAATTCCTCTTTAATAAAAATTTTTATTTTAACACGCACGTATAAATAATTTTGCTAAAATAAAATCCATGTGATTCAGATTGTTTAAATATTTTTCAGATTGTTTAAATATTTTTTCGAGCAATTTTTTAAATATGCAAAATTTGATTTGACACTGTAAAATGTGTCCTGCCAACCCATTGAGAGAGGTCAAGAAAGCACTTAACCCTGCTGAACATTACCGACTTGACACCAGTATTTGACCTGTTCCCCTTAATAATCACTTCCGTGCCGTTCATTCATACATCTAATTATACATATGTATGCATGTAAAATGTAAGGTTTGTAAAGGACGCTGCGTATTTAGAAATCGGCAGTTCTTGTTTGGCTACTGACATCTCACGTATAAGATTTTGTCATTTTTTCAGTAATTCCTATTTTTTTCGATTTCGCATCGAAATACTTTTTAAATCTGAAGAAAATATCTACAAGAAAAAAATAATAAATGTTTTTCGATGATCGATTTCATCGAGTGTAAGAAACGCTCTTAAGCAGAAACTTTTCATTTTAGAATGATTACAACTCATTATTATATAAGTACGTAAATGTAGAAATATTAAAACTAATGATATATCGATCAATTTTTATTATCTTTATGTTAATATCCACGATAAAATAATTGCAAACAATCCAAAATACCATTTTGTTGTCGTGCTGAATGATTCCGTGTTGTTGCAAGCGTTTTCCTTACAGAAATAACACTCGATACTTGAATGTGGGAAATTATCTTCATGATTACAGTAATCGTTGACTTGGCGAGATGATACACACGCTCGTACTGTCACTAAAATATTTCTGTCTGCAATATTACATCGATATTATATACTTTTGCTTACTGAATATTAAAAGAGCTTTTTTACTTTATTGTGTTAGATATTATAAGCAATTCAAAAAATTATGTTTAAAAAGTTATAGTTTTAACGAGACTTTATATTATATTAAAATAAAATACACATACATAATATGATACTTTTATGGCAATGATGAGATTCATTCCGAGGACAGGCGACTAGATCAAAATGACCAGGTGTAAAAGGATCATTACAATCCCGTTTATGTCCTTGTCTTAAATCCGTGTTACAATCATAACACCACAAATGTTCCTCCCTCGAGTAAACTGCTCGAACAATTGTAAACAATATTGAAATATGTAGAAAATGAAGCTTAATTCAGATATCGATGAACATTAATAAACATTAAGTGATTTGTTATTTTGCAGTAACAAAGATTCTATAAAATTCACTTACCCGTGTCCAAAAATCCAGATGATATAATCACGACTGAAAAGATTCCGATCATGTTGAAGATTCATCGGGAGAGAGAGAGGAAAAGAGAGACATCTCGGCGGTTTAAAATATGTTCCTCGCGAGATATCTTATCTATGATAATCAAACGGATGGCGCGACGAAAAGCGCGTGGATACCAGAGCATACGATATAAAAGCGCGTAAGTTACAGAAGAATCGTTCTTTACAGAAAGAATCAATGTAATGAAATATAATCTCATATTTTTTTCAGAAAAATTTCGAGATTAAGCAAGATTAGCTCAAGATTTTAACTAATCAATAAAATGTGTTTATAGAATTTAAAAAAAAGAGAACGCAACTAATTTCAAGAACATAATTAACAAAATTGTGTGTATTCTTAATATAACAAGCACATTCCAATTGTTGATATAATTGATTAAAAGAAATTAAAACTTCTTTTCTTTCTTTTATGTTAGACAAAAAGAGGTACTTTAAGTTAAATGCAATAATAGACTGTTAGAGCTGACAATTTTATCATACCTTTTTTGAAAAAACAAATATAAGCTAGAAATAGTGATATTTTTATTTTAAAATTATGATATATTGTTTTACTAAACTTCTTTTAAATTTTAGGTAAAGAAGCGACCTACCGTGATTTTTTTATGGTATCTCCATCTAGCAGTGAAACATCCTAAACATGTGGCCGTGGATGGACATACTTTGTCGGTACATATCGGTGCTCCACGTGCAAGTTATACACAGTTATGTTGCTTCTAATGTTACCAAAATAATATTTTATAATAAAATTGTTGATTGCCACTTGAGAAAATAGATTCATATAGTGTCGAAACTACACGACTGTCTAGATGGATACGTTACAGTTAAGAAATGTACATATCTTTAATATAATTCTACACAATCAAATGTAACCAATAATTCCATTTCACCTGTGCAATGTTTTATCTTGTTATGACATGTTAATTATATCAATATGATCACATAAATCTTCAGTAAATTTGTTTTCAGTTCAAGGACTTTCTTTTGCTCTACAATCAAATATCCGAAACATGTTTCAAAAAGTGTGCAAATACTTTTCTCTCTCGAGAAATCACCTCCGATGAAGTGAGTATTGCTATAAATATATAGGTAACATTGTTGAAGATAAATTTATCTTATTTTCACTTGAAATTACAGGATATATGTGTCAGTAACTGTGCACAGAAACACATTTATGCCAATCATAAAGTAATGGAGATATTCATGGAAGTACAACCTGTAATGGTACGTAAAAGAATGGAAGAAATGAATGCAGCACAAGCAGCATTGGAAGAACAAAATCAGCAACAAGCAGAACAAAGTGTACAATAACACTTATATTGGTAATATATATGTGTTTATTATATATTTAGTTGCAATGTTCTAGCATGAAAGCAGAACATTAAGATATAATATGTTAAAACAAATGTATATATGTAAAAGGATGATTTGAAAGAAAATATACTTTCTTTTGGATCATCCTATTCGTGTATATGGATATTTAAACAATACTGATGGATATAAATTATATCCACAAGCTTTTTAAATGATCATTATAAGTCATCAAGTTCTTTAATTGATAATTATAAGTAAATCTAGTTAATCATGCAATGGATGTTGCATAAACTTACTTCTATTATTTTCTGTAAATACATTTTGTAAAAGATATTAAAGGAAATAGTTATACAAGTATTCATTTATTGTTAAGAATTTGTATACACATAATATACACACACAATAACATCATAGTTAGGAACATAATATCTCTCTCAGCTATTATATATTTTTTAAATAAATAAAGTGTTTATAAGTTACATAGTTAATTTAGTAGAAATTCGCATTATTTTTGTCATATAACGATTAAAAAATCAGATCTTAATAGATAGAGCATTTACTTAATTTTATTTTCTGGAATGCGATTTAGCTATATATAACAAATACATAAACTAAAGAAAGAATTAAAATCTTTGCATCATATTCAAAGAATATATACAGGATGTAGCAGTTTACATATTGAAGGCCAGAGTTATCAAATATCTCATATTACCGCGCTATTATATCCTAGATAACAGATACAAGCGTAAAACGATAGAGATCTGCTGATTTTCCAAGATTCTTGATATCTTGTACATTTACTTCGTATACATTCATCATACACACATGTGAAACGTTTACTAAATATCATATACACACTGGAAGAATCAACTTCGCAATCTTGTGAAATAACACATACATAATATTATATAGGTACTAGCTAATTTATTTGTTTCATTAACTGTAGCTAGTTGCAATAGTTATCACTATCATGGCAGATAATAAATGATCTTTATTGAAAATGCCATTACTTAAAATATTTTGAAAAGTTTTCAAGATCTGAAAATTTCTTTACGAACAGTGTGTACAATATGTGTGAGTAATGCATAAACCATATCGTGTCCCAGCTATAGCATACAAGCACAAGCAATTCAACTTATTTATTTTGGATATCATCCTTTCTTACTCTCGTAATTTTTAAATAGATAATTGAATAAGAAAATAGCTAATTCTTATTTATAGCTTGTGCACAAAAATTTAAATTTAAAAATACTGTTTTAGTATTAAATAAATTAATTTTATAGAAATTTTTACAAGATTACATAATATTGCCTGTTTTCTACTGTTATTATATATACTACATGTCATAAAATTCGTTTCTTCTATAATTGAATTATGATCAATATCATACTGGTACACATTTATATTATGCTATAATAATTATCTGTGTCTTTATGATATTTTTCATAATTTATTTAGAGAAGAGAAACGGAATTACTTTTATTTAGTATGTATAATTGTAGAGTAAATTTCATCCAACAATAATAGTAATTTTTTATAATACATATTTCCAATCACAATATAATCTTTGAACTAAAACATTAAGAAAAAACAGAAATATTTATGTAGCAAGTATCTGCATTCTGTGATTTAGAAAATAAAAAGTTTTACTAAATTATGATACAAGCTCATTCATAGGTTCTGTAATATTCTCTGATATATCTGTGATATATTTTGATTACTATATATAGTCAGATAAGTAACAGTTATAAATAGAATAAAATAAATTTATATAATTTAGCAGTACCATCATCTTAAAGCTTGAACTTTTATAAATAAATACACAAATTTGTAATTTAAAAATGTCTTTTAAATAGCAGACGTATCTATTGTTATTAAAAGCTACATGTTTATTATGCGCGTGTAAAGTGTTGTGATATAAACAAGCAATTAATATTACTAATATATTGTAAAATAGAAAGCTCCATTTATCTTGTTTACGTCACATTACGTATTTACATCCGAGAACTCTTTGAAGAGAAATATAAAAATTAAATACCTATTGCTTCATCAAATGTAAGTTGAAAATTAATTTTTGTGACATTGTTAATCAAGTTTTGAGATTTCTTCTATCACTTTATAATTCTCTTAAAAGAATTATTAATTTTATGATACACGATTTTATGTTGAAAGTATCATATATGATCAATAATATTTAGATACACCGTAACTTGAATTCAGTCTGTTTATACACCATGAATTTCGCAATTTTTTTTCACTCTATTATGTAAACTGTCAGACTAAACGGCAGCTCTCGATACATACTGGCGTAAATTGCCAAATTTTTGATGACTGTTCTACCTTTACTTTCTGTATTTTGCAACAGAGTAACTCGATGGACGAACGCACTTAAATATTCACATCCTTCATGGTAGAACGAAGTATTTCGTTCTAATTCGACTACTGCTCTAGCCATGACGGTAAGGTGGAATTGGGTGATTTCACTTTGATGTTGAATTGTTTAAGAGTCGCTTCCAATGCAGTTTGATTCCCCGAAAAGTAAGCTGATACGGCATTATGAAATAATAGCAACTGCTTATGCATCACTTTAATCTGAAACAATATTTTATCATTAGGAAATATCAGCTAAGTATTGATTAACAATTTGCAAATAGATCAATAAAAAGTATACCCTGTTTTCATCTAAGAACTTCAACTTAATGGAAACGTCTGAGCGTAATTTTTCAAAATTCTGCTTGTGTCCCTCATAGTTAGCCTGTGCCTCTTCTAATCTCGCCGCATTGTTACTATCTGATTTTGCAGCTTGTACAAGAGCCTCTAAATCTGTTCTATATGCATCGTACTCTATCCTATAGAATTATTACATTATAATAGAGCGCAACTGTAAATGGTATGATACAAAAAGTAGACTTTGAATAAAATTTGCATACCTTGCAGTTTCATATTGTCTCACTGTAAGTAGCGTGTCCTCGATCGTTTTATTACATAGCGTATTCACAGAGGAAACAAAGAAATTTAAGGCCCCTAAAAGTGTCTCGCCGTTTTTAGTTAAATTTCTTTGCGTTTCCGAGTTATACAGGAACTCCTCTTGAAGCTCAGGCGATTTCTGCGCTAGTTCAGAAAATGCTTCCCCGAGAGCGTGTTGTGTTTGAACAACATGATGAAAATGTGATGCCAAAGCTCGTGATAATCGCAGAACGTTGCAATATTTTCTTTGAGTATCTCTAAGTAACTCAATCTGCGTTTCGAGTTCTAGAATAAAAAGATAAACATAAATATTCATCGTGAAGACTTGGCTAAGAAATAATTGACCAAAAACATTCTTTTAAGAACTCACCAAAATCTACAGTACGCGATGTTTTTCCTAATCTTTCATACATTAATTGTTTGGTACATTTGTATGTGGAGATACTCCAATTCTTCAGACTCTCAATTTTGCTCTGTGTAGTGCGCATAGTTTGTGTATCCCCATTTTGAACAGGTGTATTTGGGGAAACTGTCACCGCTAGAAGATTACAAACATCTTTTACTCCAATTTTAAAATTACCGTAGCTTTATTCCCTAATAAACCGATGAAAGAAATAAAACATTTGATACGCACAAGTTTGAGTTGTGGGGCTTCCTAAGCTCAAATTTATAGTAGCTGGTCTCGGGTGACTATCGTTGCTACAGTTGTTCGGTACATGAGGCGGAGGAGTTCCGGTATGTACAGCACTGTCACTTTCATTTAAGGAAGGTGCATCTTTCAACATTTCATGAATACTGCGTTCCATCCCACTTGATGTAACCGTAATCTGGGACATTCCTTCTCAAAATATCCCTTCTTTTTCTATCCTTTTCCCAAAACAATTTAAACGTTTGCAAGTAAGAGCGTGAAAGAATATACGTTTTTATCTTTTCTTTTAGGATATGTTTGTGCACTAGATTCTGTGAAATTGAAAACGTCAAATTTCACATCGTTAAAAAGTAACATAAACGACCTCATTGCGATCATATTAAAATTGACGTCATCGTACACATTTCGGAAGGATCTAGTAGAATCTCTCTCATTGTGTGAGATACTTACAATTAACAATTTGATCGAGAATGTGACAGATATAGTCGCTGCTCACGACATTCGATCGTCGCTACGTGACGTCGTGGCGTATTATTATATAGAATACCGGGCAGCCGGAATCACCGTACAGTTACACACTTCACTTTTCATGCGCACACCTTCCACTTGTCATATCTCGGGAGAATTTTCAGATCGCGCCGAACAGCCACATCGAAGAAGACGCGAAGAAACGTCATTAAATACTCGTTTCTCAAGAGAGCAAACTAATGCACTCTTCTTGATGCACAAATCGCCTACATGAAATACGCCATCATGATTTATATTGCGATTTTATATAATATATAAAAAATGCCAATGTCGAATAGGAGAACATGCTTTCTAGGATTCTATCGATGACTTGTTTATCCCTAGAAAATAAGTTTTCTCATTGGATTGGGCTGTCATACGTCGAATCTTTAATTAGATCGATCTTTATGTACTATTTCTACTGGTATGTTTATGGTGTAAATATTTATGCTATACAGAATTGATTATTAGAAACAGATTATTAGAACAGAAGTATTCTACTTCTAAAGAAATATAGATACATATAATGAGAAAAATTGTTATTCTACATCGCTTCTTGCTAGACATCGATTGCTGTATTCTGTGTGCAAGAACCATAAGGTTCGCGCCAGTGAGCCATATGATATACTGGATTCGTACTACTGCGCATTTGCGATCTTCCCCCTCCCTCAAGATCACTAGAAGTAACCGACAATTCAAATTTGACCGGTTGTTGTCAGCGGCTTTTTTATCAGAGTTAGTAGTTATGTAGTATTTGTAGTTTTGTAATTGTGCAACTGATTATCAGATTCGAGAAAACATGCATCAGAGTTCAGCAGGACGTAAATCATCCATTAATCCTGTAAGAATATCTATACTCGAACGGGAGGACAAAAGTTTGACTCGAAATGATCAGCGAAGGACGCAAGTAATAAAACCGAAGATTTTGGTTAACGATGCTTCTCACATTCCCAGACTTCGTTTTAGAAGCTCTTCCAGCGATCAAGCTATATCACTTGGCAGAAAATCACACCTAAAAATGACAGGTAAGAGTTACATTTAAGAACATAAATATTAATTTCAATCAACTGATCAATAATGTTTACTTTTGCAGGTAAAACTTCAATACATCCAACTCCAGCAACTCCAGTTACACCTGTCAGAGCTAATACTATGCTTAATTTACCAAGTTCAAGCAAACTTCATGCATCAGGTCGTCGATCACCATCTGCTGATCGTGGTAGCACTGTAGGTGCTAAAAGTCACAGGAAAGACACAAGACCCCTAACGGATAAGACTTACCAAATGACCTTGTTGAACAAAATAGAAAATTATTTACATTTGAATCAAGCGGCATCAATGCTCAATAATAATGGTAGTTTGAAACCTATTACATTAAAAATGTTTGTAGAAGCTTCTAATTTTTTGTTAAAATTTTGTGATGTCAAACAAGATCTTACAATGACAAATTATGTAGAGGAATTACCAAAATGTGCTAAGAAACTTCATTATCCTGGTGTGATGACTAAATCGTGGCTAAAAACTGCTAATGCGATGCATTCGTGGCCTTATGTTCTTGGTTGGATCGGCTGGATGGTAGAAGCATGTCAGGTGAAACAACTGGCATGTGATAAATATCAGTTGGAAACTATACCATTCATAGGAACTGAACAAGAGGCCCAAAATAGCAAAATGGAATTTTTGGTACTTTTGGAATGCTATAAAGCTTGGAATGAGGAAAAACATGAAGAGGAAGCAGAATTATTTGAGAGATACCTGCAGAATATTTTAATTGAACAGGGCATTACCAAAGAGCATAAAGCTCAGGCGAGTGAAGAACTGGAAGAAGAAACTTTGAAGTCAGAAGCAATGGATGAAGAATTGAAAAAACTTGATGAAGAAATTGACAAATTAAGAGCAGAATTATCATCTTGGCAAGCCAAAGAAGTTAAACTGTCGAATGATGTTAAAACTAAGGAAGATTATATAGAAAAGACTTCTACTGAGGCAAATCAGTTAAATAAAGAATGCAACACTTTAAATGAACAAATTCGATTAAAAAATATACGATGCGAGGAATTAATCTCAACTCTAAAAAATCAGCCAATGTCTAAAGCTGAGAAAGAAAATATTATTAAAAAATGCACAGAAATCCAAAATTTTATACATATTTTTGAAGAACATTTAAAAGACTATCAAAAAGAAATGTACACTTTAGATATCAAATTAGCATCCATTATTAATAATATCAATAAAGCGGTATTAGTGTATAATAAAGAGCTTTTCATGTGCATTGATAACACAATTGCGCATTCTGATGTGAGTTTTGATAAGTTAAAGCTCCCAGAGAAGGGTTTATTGGATCCTGTAATAATAAACATACTCGAAGAAAAGGCCGATTTAACGAAATTTTACAAAGAATTATTAATAAAGCAATGGAATGAAACAGAATCTGTTATTCGTTCAAACACTATAAAATTGGAGAAGCTTCAAGAAGATATTAACAATTTACCAGACGAAAAGAAATTACAAGAGGAAAAATCTGTTATCAATAAAATGAAGGCAGATGCTAAACAAGACAAAGAAAAATTGATAAAAGAGATAGAAATCTTTAAAAATGAGATTAAAGAAATAGAAGATATGATATCAGATTTACGAGCAGTAGATAAAGAAATAGAAGAAGGCAAGGAGAAATTAGAAGCAGCTGCTAAAAGAAAGACATTTTTAGAAGAAAATGCCAAACGGTTTTTTGAAAAAAAATTATATCAAATGTTAGACGACCATAGAAACGAACTTTATAAGCTCTTGAAAAAAAATCAGAAATAGATATTCTATAGATTCTATAATAAATAATAAATACATATAATAAATACAAGGTACTGTACAATTTTTTTTATGATTATGCGTTCATTAGTGCACTTTTAAGTTCATGGTTTAAGTAAAAAGTTGTCGTAAAAATGGTTAAAAAATATATATATACATATATATATATAAAATTTATTTTAAATAAAGTAAATTTTATAAACGTTTCTCTCGTGTTCTCGTATGTTAGGTACATACAAATAAAATAGATGCATATTTTTATCTTTTTTATCTTTTTTTACAAAATGATGCAAATTCTGGTATGTAAAATATTTTTATTCTATTAGCTCTATATGTCGTGACAATATGCAACTTGCAATTTTCTTTGTTTTTCTTTTTAGACAAGTTTTAACATAATCTAATAAATTACAGTTGAAACGTATGTTCCTTAACTGAGTAATGTACATGATACATTAATAGTTCATGAATAACAGAAAATGAATACTATATATACTACATACAAGATATTACATTTGACATGAGTAAAATATCCATCTTTCAGGAAGTAATGATATTTTACAATGACGTTTCGTCGTTTTTTAATTATATCACGAATAATTGATCTTTTCTATTGAGGAGTAACTTTCTGATTAGCGTTCTGTACAATTTTATTTTTAATTTTGATAATTTATGTACAATATAGCGTTAAAATATTTAAAACATAATAGAAATATGCGTTGTATCGTATAGCTCTCCAACTAAATATTGGAATGTGAGTTAATATACAAATATTCTATTTTATTCTAAGATCATTACTGTCTATTTGTTATAAACATTATTTTTTATTAGTGATCAAATTGTGTAATCGTTTTACATAATCGATATTTTAAAAGTCACTCCTCAACTATGCCTGAACGTATCATTTAAGTTACAGCTAGGTCCCGAATGTCGTTTTTATCTTAAAAACTTTAATACATTATGCATAAAAAACATAATATTAATCAGTGCAATATTAATTGAAATGCATATTCTAATACAATTGGTATTCAATTGGCTTCAAAAATTTGTGTTCTTTTTTAATTCGTTTCGATTAGAAGTAAATTTTAAAATAATTTAAAGTAACATTTTCAAATTGAAAATAAAGTCAGCTCGTAGGTCGACGTTGAGAGTTGTTCGTGTTATAATTCTTATTCTTAATATGTGTACAAAAGAAAGATGTTTCAGTCATATAATTTATTTCAATATGATATATTGTAAACTGAGAATGGTCAGATTAAATAAAATATTTTTCTTTTTTAAACATTGAGAAATATAAGTATTGCAGAACAAATGACCAGTGTTGGCCTATTAGCTCCTTTTATTACCAATTTTTATTTATTGAAGCAATTAGGCCTTTATTTCATTCTACTTTTTCTAACTTTTTCACTAGCTTTACATAAGACAAAATTAACAAACAGATTTAATTTAATATTTGTATATTCATGTGTAATTCCTAAAATTATTATAGACTAAATTCAAATAGAAATAGCAATTACATAATTAGATAATATTAACCTGTTATATATAAAAATATGATACGTTTTCTGATTAATTTTATCTTATGTTGAGCTTTATTGTATATTGCCTTATTTTTACGTAATAACGCGTACCGTGTCAATTGTGCAGTATCAGTTTCCTTACTTCTTATATAAAGAGGAATTAGCCTACATGTATGTGCATTTACTTTATCAGTATTTTTTTTCACGATAGATAAAGTTTTTTTTATCGCAGACTACCACCAGACAGCTATGAGATCATTTTTATGTATTGTGAAATATGATATTCTACTGTTGACTAATGTGTGAAAAATTAGCATATGTTATTCGTATCCAAGCACAGTTATGAATAACAATAGATGAATTCATAGATACTCTATAGAAGAGCAATCACACGCAAAAATAAAAAATATTCTACATACACTTAGTAGTTTTGTACTAATTGTTTCATACGGTTTATAATAAATGATTAACACATTTCCATTATATTCTCGAAAAGAATAATATTCTATCATTTGTCCGATATCGTCTATATTACAAAGTTTAATAGAATCATTTCTAAAAAATATAGTTTACAAGCTTCGACGTAAGAAATACCGTTTATACACAAAAATAAGTTGTATGTACAATAATCAAAGTCGGATTTATATACCACCTAAATGCACATAATATTGTTCCTCAAAAAAGTAAACGATTATTATATTTGTATATAATTATAATTTTTATTAAATCTCTACATATCATGTAACAAATATAAGTTTGTATATAAATATAATAAAACAAAATTTAATAAATAAATTTTGAAATCAATGAAATAATCACTTGGCTTATGTATATGCGTACACGTATTTACTGATTGGTAAATCCGACTCTGATAATAATGCTACTTAGATGCGAATCTTTCAAATAAAATTTTAGATAAATTAAAACTTTACACATTTATCTAAATATATTTTAAATCTTCTTGAAGATCTCTATCTTAAGAAGATTTAAAAAATAATAGATTTTAATTAGGAAGATCTTAATCTTTCTAATGTATCGTAAACAATTTGTACAATTTGAATTACGTATAGACTTCTTCATCTCTCGTTTGTTATTTAGGCTATTCTTTGTTAATATACATTCGTAACTGAAGAGTATTTGTTATTATCGCGATCTTAAACTATAGGAAAATTAACAGATTTCCGCTTTACGCTCTGTGTTCTATACTTAAAGATAATAAAAATCAGTATGGAAAATAGATAACGATTTTCTTGGTATTGTATGTATAACTAGCAAGTTAACGATATCCTTTGAAGTGTAAATGTTAAAATCATCAATTTCGTACATTTAAATTCAATTTGCATTGCCTGATTTGATTCACAAGAAATTTATATGATTGGCATTTTAATATAAGCATTTTAATGTTCATAAGTTATAGCATATGAACCGAACACATGTTTACCTCGTAGTAAGAAATTATTGGAAGTCCAAATATGCAATCATTCGGCACATCACAAATATTTTTACACTCCATCAAACTTGTCACTTATACTATACAATTAACTAGACAATATTCAGCGGACATTGATACTTTATATAACTTTAAAAGTACTATAAATATATAATGCACATTATATGCAACAAAATAACAAATATTAAATCAAAATAGAAATTATTTAAAATTCATCAATAAAATTGACTCATAAGCATCTAATCAAATTCTCACATTTTTCTTATGTAATGAAAAATATTTGACAGATAATCATGTGATAATATAAATCATATATATATACCGTTTTTTCTCGCGCACAAGATAATTTCTCTAAATTAATTCATTGTAAATTTGTTACAGATTTTTGATTCTTATGATTGTATATGGATGATACATACTGGTTCTGGTCAAGCTATTTACATAACGCGTCTTTTCTCGCTTAAACAAGTACACGCCATACCCTATTTCCGATAGGTCCATCTCAGTGACGTTCATTTAAATACTTTGTCACACATCGATTTGTATATCACTGTCTTCCGCTTCACTTTCAGTACTAACTATAGCATCTTCTCCCACTAACAAGGCAGCAGGTAAATTTGGCGGTACATTATCGATGTCTAGTCTTGGGGTAGAATACACATTTAAGACTTGTATTGTTGTAGGAGACGTCGAAAGACACTGCGGTACTGATCCCAGAGGATCTCCACTTAATGTGTCACAATCCAGAGAAGTGGATAGCTGTAGTTGTAAATTATGAAGTTCAGGTATATGTGGACGGATCTGAAATACATACAAAATTATGTGAGATATTTTAAGATAAAATTAGACATAAGATGACTTTTAAATTTGATTCAGGACAACACCTTCAATCCATCTGCTGTATGAGGATTTCTGCAACCTCTACATCTACATTCTACGCAAGGTTTACTTTCGACATAACAAGGACACCTTTGACCGCAACAAGTAAGTTTCCCAGGTATTGCAGTGGCATTGCCACATCTGCATCCTTTTCTTTTACTTCTGGCCGAACTTGACCTTGGCTTTTTAAAATTGCCTGAGGACTGCTTGTAACAAAGTAAATGATATTATTACTCACATTCATAAAAAAACATCACGATAAAAGTATCGGATTAATGCAGAAGTATTCAAACTAAAAATTAGAGTAAATCTATTTTTTTTTTTAACAAGATAAAAGATGAACGATGAGTAACGTCTGCATTAATCTTTCTTATGGGACCTAAGTGTATGAATACGAGTTTAGACTTCTCTAACGCTAATATTAGTATGAAAATAAAAGCGATATAAGTATACAGGTTAATAAAGAAAGTTTAACTATGAATGTTAATAGATGTCAGAAAAATTATTGTACCTTACAAGAAGTGTTAACGGAGGACAGACATCTTTAAGCATTTAAATAAAGATTATAGTGCAATGTAAATCCTGTAAGGTATAAGATTAACCGAATATCTATTGAAATTACTTTGCTGCCCTTTGAAGATTTTTTCTCAGAAGGGGTCCCATATTTAAGGTGGGAAGACGGAATGCATTTTACCCCTCCTACAGAGCTGTGCTGACTTCCATCTGTCTCCTGTTGCCCCGTTTCTGTATCTTCCGTAGCTGCCGCTTTGCGTTTTATTGTAATTTTGTTACCAGACCCAGCATACATCACAGAATATATGGACGATCCATTTGACACTGTACGAATCGTTGGAGGTTCTACGCAATAGACACAATAGAAAATACTTACATGTTACATAAGCAAATGTCTGCATATATATATATATATATATATATATAAATATAAAAATGTCTGCATACTTATAATTAATTTGCAAGAATTATCAATGCTATTTTGATAATGACATATTTGTTGTGTATACCAGGTATGTTCTGCGATATTGCCTCAGTAGTCTGAACGCTGTTACCCTGGGTCTGGGTAGAGGTAGTGCTGGTGTAAACACAAGGTAGAATGCTGTAAGCGGACTTGGAGAGACCAGCGTTGCTCTTAAACTCATCTTTGAAACCCGCACCTTCCTGAATAAGCTCCATGAGACTGGTAGCACCAATAGTGGACGGTGCTCCATTGGTGGTAGCACTGTTGACAGATGTGACAGACAGCAGCAGAGTGCGATAGATGCCGGTGCTGGTTAAATACTCGCATAGCTTCTTGTAACACTGCAACAGTATCCGCAACTGCACGTTCTCCACATACTTGTCATAGTCCTTGCACCAACCGCACGACGGTTTTAACTTTTTGCGACCTCCACGGCAACCACGGCACACGTGATGCTGACAGTTGGTCTCGGTCGGCGTGTGCGGCTCGATCAGTAGATTCGAGCACACGGTACAACTGAGACTCTGCCGCAGGTACGGAACCAGCCTGTAAAGGTCCGTCCAGGAGTTGGGGTCCTCGGCATCCGCCTGCAGCACCAGTCGACACGTCGACACGTACAGGCTTGTCGCGTTCATCACGTCATGCACACACGTTTCGCGCTGGATTCATGCGATCACTGCTTTTTCGCGAGGGTAACTCAAACTTTACAGCCGCTGCTAAACACTCCGCGCGTAACCATCCTTGCACACACAAACAAAACATACGCCATGTTTCGTCGGCGACAATCGCTTTTGTGGCATTCTCATAGAGGGTGCAGCAGGCACCTTTCCCCCGCGGCATCTGCAGAAAATCGTGATAATGCGACATGCACGGCGCCTACGATTGAAAATTATATTTGGAGCAATCGGTATAAATCGTATCGAGATATTTCTTTCATCACGATGTTGGTATAAAATCTAAAATTTTATTTTTATTTAAATTATATTTTATAGCTAATTTACCGCCATATAAACATGTCACTTATTTTTTAAATCTCGTATTCAATTTTTGACAGGTACTCAAAAAGTTCAACCATCGAATTGTCACACACAAAACGTGATTATTTCCATGAAAAAGAAAGTTCACGGGAATTACGATAGAGTGCGATAAGCAGATAATTTATGTACATACAGATTCACGCGAAGAATGATCTTCTTAAAATTATTATGTGATGTCGCTTTACGCGATATGTCGTTTTCGTTGATATTGTCGTCGAGGTACACCTGTGGACTTTCTCTTTCTTCTTCCGTCGAAATATTGGGTTACAGATGAAACTGAACTTACGTGAAATCTCTGGAATCTCGAGATTCTCCATTATAACAAGTGGACGGTTTAAGAATTTATTAGAGGTAATTAATTTGAAATTCTAAAATAAAACTACAACTTTTTTGCTGGATGTAAGTTTTTAGAAGATGACGATTGTCAATTGTATTGGAAAATACGATGATTCTGTTACATTTATGTATATATTTGCACGCAGCGTAATATTAACTGAGTTTTTTGTAATAAAGTTTTGCTAAACTCTGTTATGAAGAGATAGCCTACAAGTGCATTTAATCATAGTAACAAAAAAAATACCAATTATTTTGTCAAGATTGACATCGTTGCATTTTTTATTGAGCGCTGATCATTATGAAGATGAAGCAAGTGTATCATTAAATCAAAACTCAGAAAATATTACACTGCCTAGTGTCATATAAACTCATGTCGTAATATTTCTACATCATTTATAGGCATTATTCCATCTACTTTCCACGGCCCTTGATTTTGTAGCCATCGCGCGGTTGGTTGAGTAAGACTGCCTTGTAGAATACAGGTAATTTGCCTCATGCTCACGTGATGTTCTCCTCTCTTTATATTAATCAATTTGCCGTTATTCCTTACACGTTCATTACGCGACCTTCGCGAGCGGATCCCCAAAATTGTGTAATATACAAGCAGCATCTTACTCTCTCTCTTTGTTGTAGCACATTTATCTTTCTTATCTAACAAGTTTAATCGTGAGAATAGATCTCTATTTTTTTTTCCAATCACACTTTATATTCTATTTTCTCGCCGCTTCCTCTTTCCATGCAAGAGTATAAGAAAAATCAAGGTAACATAACATTGCAACACTTTCCGTTAATAAAGGATTGTAAAAATATGGAGAAGTGATAAGTGAGAGTCGTGTAATCTCCGTTGTAAAACTATTAAACAAATGATTATTCTGATCAATAAATCCGATAATTAGTCGGAAAATATAAATGAAGTTTTTACAAATTATGCATTTACACTTAATGGACTATAGTAAATGAGCCATAATAGATGAAGTAGGAAGTAAACTATGAAAAATGACCGTGATCACACATCAGCATGTGACATGAGCAAACAGTTACCGGTTTCTCTTTTGCGTTGACCTGAACAAACCGGGGAAATCCCTTCGGAACCTGTTTCATGGGATCAAAGAAATATGAAGTGATTTCAACTATCTTTTTTATAAAAACAAGCCGAATATCATTCTGATTCATACGTTGATATAAAAGATTCTCCTTTTTTATTTTTATCGATTTTTAAAATGCCGACTTTGTATCATAATTTAGTGCCGAAATTTGTATATATTTGCTAGAATTTATTATATCAATATTTACAAGAATTTATTATATCAAAAAAATGATACAATCCAGAAATGTAGAAATGTTGGATTTTTTAATTGGAAAAACACTTGTTGCGACAGAACCTTTGCCTCGGAAATGTCTTTTAATCATATCTAATCTTATTAATCACACATAAAGTAACATGTCATGTTTGTCAATAAAATCTAATATTGTTCCACAAATAAGATACGAATGCTGCCCCTAAAAAATAGTTTCATTCACATATATTTGATCTGTTAGAAAGATATCGCAGATTCGTTTGTATGGATCGTTTTTGCATTAGTTACTTGGATTTATCTTTCCCATATTTGTGTTTCTGAATCCGCGTTTAAAGATTTCAAGGATCAAAAGCTCACATTATCATACAATGGATTGTATTCATTTTTTAAGTTACTCATCTATTATTGGGTTAATCATTTCAGTTAATCTAATTAGCATATACTTGAAGCTTGAGGAAAGACATTTATCGATAAAAAAATACCTTTTGTTCAAAAGTACACATATATTAACAAAATGGAAGACAGGAATATTTAATGTATTAACTGATCATTGGTATTATTAAATATTAAATTATTATTAAATGTCCATTTTGATACAGCATTACGTAATTGGCGTTAATTGAAACATGTTGCGTGTGTATCGAATATATTACGCATACATTTATTTAAGTATGATCGCAAGATATCTGCTTTATTTTTGCGATTCATGAAAATTAATGCTTTAAGAAATGTACAAGGTGCGCGATTGATCTATGTTGTGTCATTCAGTTTTATCTGTGTATTGTTTGCGATATATATATATGTATATATTGATTTCAGGAAGTCACGTTCTCGGTTAATTAATTACATTTGTGCATTGGAGGTTGTAGATAACATCGATAAAACACATGATCTCAAGGTGCGCAATAAAGTACAAAAACGTATTTATTATTATCGAACAATGTTTTAGGCTAAAAAAAAATAAATTGATATAGATTTAAAAAAAACAATATTTCATATAAACAGCAAAAAGACTATTCATAAACTTTATTTGCTAAAATCAATTTTAGTGATTCTGAGATTATTTTACTGCAGTAAATTTTTGCCCTATCACAAATCGCTGCAATAAGTGCAACATTTTACTTTAGCAACAAATTAAATTTACTTTAACAGCAATTTGTCTTTAAATTTTGTTATTTTATTTAAAAAATCATAGATTTAGCTGTAATATTGAATAATGGCAAAAATGTCTTGTGCAAACCACACTTCGACTTCTGAAGATAAAATCTGAAGTTGTCATAATTTACTGATGTATGTCTATCGAGTAGTAAAGTTATACCATTATCTGAGTAATATTCTTCCTGCAACTTGCGAAATTGTGGTAATGCATTTATCACATTTCTATTATCACAGGGTATTAAACTCGATTCCGTTAAAGATAACGAACGTCTCCTTCAACTTGAACACGAAGTGCAATATTCGTATTCACCAGCGAACGCATTGTTGAGTACGCTGAGCACATCTCGACGACATTTTTCATCATCGCGGTACTGTTCTTCGAACATGACGTCGCGCAGTTGTTACCAATGGTGAATAAAGTCACGCCAGTCGCGATAAGCCTGTGCACAAATGTTAGCCATTAAATTTCCAAAATGAATTATCAAGTCCTGAAAGCCAAGACAAAAGCGACGATGTCACGTATTGGTGATTTCTTTTCGTTTAGATAAACGAGAAAACCAAAAATTTGACTTTTATTACGAGTGAATGCGATAAATGGTGGACTAAACGATAAATTCAGTTTTATTTATCAGAGAATTCGGTTCGATAACTTCGATAACATTCGGTAGAACGTTTCTCTAGAGAAGGGTGAAATATTCAAAAAATTTAGAAAACTTGTATTTGTATTGCAAGTGTCGCATTGTGGTAAAAGTAAAATGGAAAGTAACGTTGCGTGATTCTTTTTTTATATCTATAAATGTATAATGTACTTAAATCATTATTTAATTATGTTCTTTAGAAATGGTTTAGCTTGTTTGTTTTAGTACGTATCAAGTTTCTTATCTGATTTGATCGATACATTATATTTATCTTCTCTTTTAATGCTTTCAGTTATATTAATGCATTTATTAGTTCTTGATTGATAAAAGATAATTCATATCTTGATTTAAATCTCAGATTGTAAAGTTTAAACCCCAAAGAACAAATTGTTTTTCCTGTACGAAAACGTCAAGAGATTGTTATTATTTCCCCTCATTATTTCTCTTTTCTGCAATTTTTATTTGTATATGTATTTATATTCAAGCTATAAGTTAAGACTTCAAGGATGAAGTTAAGTAATATCTCTGAAACTTGTCAACAGTTTCTTTTATTTTTATCGGTAATTACCGAACGTTTTTCTTCCTATATAAATTTCCGCCAGGAAAGGAAAATATCATAATTTACCGATATTTTTCGTGATTTCAGATATCTGCATATTTACCTGCCGGTCAACGAGTCTCGGATGATGCGTGGAAAGTCCACTGACGAATTCTTTACTCGCGGAAAACTGTGGCACATAGTTATTGGTTGAACATACGTAAGCGGGGAGATCCAAGCTGCCTTCAAAAGGCGGACCCTCTTCGTACATACGCGTTATGTCCGTTGATGGGACAAGAGACCCCTCTCAATGACCATTCTCGTGGGGTACGCATGACCTCCGCAGAGAACTTCTGCATTATATAGAGGAGCGAATTGCCGACACCGGTCCAGTCCTTCGTAAAGTGTTGTCGCGGGTGTAGATAAGACGCAGCTTCCGTCATCGCGAATGCATGTGTCGCATGGTGCGTCCGAATCTTGGCCGGTGACCAGAGAGTTGAATGCCTGACAACGTGCATCGGCCAGAGTGCTAGTGCGATCGTCATTTTACATTGTCGGTGATCTGGAGTTTTCCACGCGATCAGAATTAAAATGCAGTAAGTCATGTTGAAACTTTTATATTGTTTCTTCTATCCGGATAAAATTAAAAATTTAATTGCGCTGCGTCTTGTTCGAACAATTGATATTTAGAAGCTGTCAGAGCAGATGTTTCAATTTTTTTATAGCAAATTATTCTAAAGTAGTATTAAATATAGAATTTAACTAATTAAAATTTTTGATCCTGCTTGATTATTCCACGTGTCTCACTGTTGAATACAGGATTTATTTACTTGCAAATCCTTGAGAAATTCCTCTGCATTTTTAATGATTTCCAGTATGGAAATTCAAAGAATACTTCGAGATATATCCGTGTAATGGAATAGCTGAATATAATATCGTTACGATTAATATTGAAAAATTATGCGTTTTGTTATTTTGCCACTATCGCAGTCACGAATTTTAACGTGTTCAAAATGCGATTGCGCACATCAAGACTGATTCCGTGAAATGGCAATTGTTCATAATCGCTTGCATTTTATTACATTTTTTATTAAAATATGTAGATTAAATATTGTAGGCGGCTGTCGTGGTGAATGTTTATTGCAACTAGAAATATCAAAGATATTTTGTCAAATATGTTTCCAGCTGGCCCGTCCTCGAAAGCTCGATCGTTTTATTTCGCGTCTTCTTCTCTTTGCCGTTTCTTCTTTTTCTCTGAAGGGTTCGATGAATTCTGCGAGAGAGAATCTCGTTCCGCGATTTTAAACATTTTCTGAGAATTATTGCATTCCTGCTCCGAAATCAGAACCAATATACCGTCTCGACCCGATAATAACTTTTCTAAGGCAAACTTACTAATCATAACAAATATATTTTTGACTCGAACGTTCGCGATAAACGGCAATTTCCAATAAATATTATATTTTCCGTTTATACAATATTAAGACTAATCAAGATGTATTGCAAAAATCAGATCAGTAATTTTAAACATTTTTTCTGGAGATTAGTAATGTTTTTTGAGCACTTTTTAAACTTTTTCTGGCATATAAATATTTCTACAATTTTATTACAAGCGATTTTAATGAATTGATGTAGATGTCAGAAAAAAAGAAAGATTGAAAAGTACTGTGTTAGATTCGGAATAAAGTTAATATTTGCAATAGCAAAACGATTATTGGCACAATTGTAGATAACAGCTGTGCCACATGCTATAACGATGCAAACGCAGAGCGTTGCGTCAAGTTGTGCTAAATTCATAAAGCTACGATGCGTATATGTCGTGTGTTGTAAGACGCATTGGGGGTTTCGACACTGCAACATTGGCCTTACCTGTAATTACCTGTTTAGAGCATTAAATGTAATTTTACATCCGTTCGCGGCAATTAAATGAGATATCTCTTTTGTAAATTTTCTGCGAAAGCTTTATTTATACTTTACTGCTTTATTCATTTTACCGTGGAGTTTGTTTTTTAAATAAATTAGTTGATATTGGAAGAATCATAAAATATTTTGAACTAAAAAATATTGCTACATTTTATTTTTCTAAGTTTAATATTTTAAATAGGATATTAAAAATATAGAATAAAAAACTTCACATTATGTTGTCTCCGTGAAAATGTTCTAAATATAATGAGATTGATTTGCATTAAAATTTACAGATTGTGTTCAAAACTGCATCTTTACAAATAGCTCAGAATTAAATTTTGTACTATTTTTTAAGATATTTAATGACATTTTAATTGAAAACAGATTAAATTTTTATAAAGATATATAATGTATATGTTAAAGATCAAAATGTCATTGTGAATCATGATCCTCGCTATTTTAATTCAGGAAAAATCTTATTTCACATTAGCTCATCTATCATTAAAATGCACAGAAGTGGGACACTACACATGCACGACTGTAATGACGTAAATACGTATATGATGTTACTTTATCGCTATTTTGACGTAGAATATGTAAAATGTAAGCAAAGCTGGATTATTGGAACTGAACTTTGAATTAAAGTAAGCAATAATCTATAATAATTAATCGTTTCTGAAATTTAATTGTACGGAATATCAATACGTCTCTGTGCAGACGTAGAAAATACAACATTATTTGGAAAACGGAACTAATATAAACAAAATTTTATTAAGAGATTTTAAAATAGCTTTTGGTTGATTAATATTAATAAAAAAAGACAACATGACAAAAACATTTTATTTCATACAGAAGGAATTAAACTCATTTTCTTAATTTTCAGATTAATAATATCAGGGATTAAAGTTCTGGCGATTGATATCAATTCACTTATTTTTTGCACAATGATTGCACAATAGTGAAGCGCCTTCGGCAATTTTAAAATTTAAAAATGCCACGCATCGAACGCTTTATACATATGTATTACATAAGACACCAACGCAACGCACAGTATCTTTTAAATCTATTCGTATACTAGTTATTTCTGTCGAGTTATTATCTGTAGTCTGCAGGATCTTGTTTTACAACATGTCGTGTGTAACGGAATCTATACATATATGTTAACCGTGTTTAATCTCTTACTGATTTAGATTGCCTCTGTTACAGGTCGAGAATGATAACGTGGAATGTACTGTTAATTCTACTTCCTCTAATTATTCATAAAAGTCGATCAGGTGATAATTTTTAATTCAAACGCTTAATATTAATTTCACCTTGGCATTAAGTGAAATCTTTGTTTTTATTGCTACTCTATCTTGCGTCTAGTTTTTAATAATAAACGAACGTTTTCCCTTTTTTTTTATTTTAGAAACAATAGTAACGGCATACAACAATCTTGGCTTGACACCAATCGATCCGGAGATCGCTGATAAAGTTGACTGGAATCGTCACGCATGTCGACGAACGTGTAGGGATGGTGCGGCGCCTCTGGATTGTTATTACACTTTCAAGCTGGAGTCTTATTACACAATGAGCAAAGCGTGTTACAACTGTCCGTTCAATATCACGGACTGTTTTCGGCCTCATTGCATCCCGGCCGACGGCATAAAGCGATCTCTTTTAGTCGTGAACCGGCAAATGCCAGGCCCATCAATCGAAGTGCGTAATTCCGTAATCACTTGTATGTTTATCTTTCACAATGCTGCTTCATTATCTTGTTTAATTTAATTTAACACGAGTCATTGAGAAATTTGAAGCTACAAGGTTGTAGCATTGAAGTAAAAAAGAAAGTTATAAATCTGAAAACTTAGATTTGATATTATTGAATGCACGTTAAATATATTTTAAGTAATATTTGCGTATTTTTCGATTAATCTCTCTCTGCTATATTTTTGGAAGAGATTCACGTTGATATAATTAATTTTATGTCGCTATTGTTAGCTATTATTAGTATTGTTGGATAAGCTAGATTCTCTTAAACGCGTCAAATCCATGATTTCTACTTTGTCCAGATTGTTTCGCTGATAATCAAGGATAATTACCGCTCACTGATGCTTTACCTAGCAATTATACAATGATATCACGAGAGCAGCATGTTGCGGTTCATTCCGAGATTTATTTCGCTAAAAATATATTTCTCAGCGAGATCGTGCGAGCATGCGAGAAATCGTGAATCATCTTCACGTGAAAATTATTTTGTTTATTCACGGACACACATTTCTTATATCTAACTTCCGTGACCGCTTGTCCAATTTTGACATAATTGCTTTGTGCAAAATTAGAATTATTCATGATACCCGGGAATATACCTGCATTTTAATTGCCGCGTTATTTTAATTACCGGAAACCTGATAACGATGTTCGATGGCGTATTGCGTGATTTGTATCGATAATAGTCGCCGCGAGTCGAGTGATAAATTGAAAAAAAAGTAGCGAGAATATTTTAAGCATATGTTTAATTACAGGTGTGCCAAGGCGACAAGATAATGGTCGATATGATCAACTTGTTGCACGCGGAGAGCACGACGATGCACTGGCACGGTCAGCATCATCTCAACACGCCGTACATGGACGGTGTACCTTATATATCGCAATGTCCTATTCCTCCAGGAGCGACTTTCCGATACAATTACACCGCCACCGAAGGCGGCACGCATTTTTGGCATTCTCATATAGGTGCGTAGATTTTTCACAAGCGCGCGATATTACTATATGAAGCGCGCCATCAATTAACAATATTTATACGTAACATATTTTAGTTAAGATATTTTACAGTCAGCATGATTTTATTCTAAACGAAAACTTCCAAGAGACTTCCTATTTTTTTTTTCTCAGGAAAATTACATAAGATAAATTGATTTTTTATCCAATAATCGATTCGTCACAACAAATGATCTGTTTTCTAGACTAACAGCTTCCAAAAGCTTGTAATATTTTATCATGTATTCTTGCCTGCAGGATTTCAGAGGGGCGATGGTGTGTTCGGGCCATTAATTGTTCGTGTGCCTCCTAAAGTCGATTGGCACAAAGATCTTTATGATTACGACGAACATATGTTAGTAGTCACAGATTGGATCCATGAACTCGGTCTTAGCAAGTTCCTGGCGCATCATCACGCAGATGGTGACAACAAAGCGCCGAATATATTGATAAATGGCCTCGGTCGTTTCATCGCTATTGAGGATGAAAATCAAACATTGGCTGATATGCCTATTGAGACGTTCGTCGTAAAATCGGTAAGTTTCAGACAGGAAAAAATATTTTAACATAAAAGTCTAAAAGATGTCTGAAAGATATTTGAGCCAATTTTTATTATGAAATTCATATTTTACAATCAGCATAATTTTATTCCAAATGGAAACTTCCAAAATTAAAAGCTACCTCAATCTTTTTAAGGGAAATTATGTAATTTTTTAGATAAATTGATTTTTTGTCACTCTATATTTGCAATTTATATTTGCAGAATTTCCGATACAGATTCAGACTGATTAATGCGGAATTTCTGAACTGCCCAATAGAAGTTTCCATCGATAATCACACTTTGCATGTAATTAGTTCAGACGGACGTGATATTGAATCAGTAGAAGGTACGATTTCATTTTTATATTATGTACGCATCATTACTTTTACACAAAATCGTTAATTAATCGCATTATAATAAATAAAGATAATAAAATTCAACATTAAAAAAATATTAATTTGCCTAATAATTTTCACATAATATATAATTCTTGTAACAAAGTTATGATAACTGTTCAATTATCGATCTTTGAATTAAAATTAAAAAAAAATATTAATGTCACAGCTGTATCTTTGGTGAATTATGCTGGCGAAAGATTCGATTTCATAGTCGAGATGAACCAACCGATAGACAACTATTGGATAAGATTCCGAGGATTGATGGATTGCGACGAGAGATTTTTGAGTGCCCACCAAGTTGCATTATTACGATACGAAGGCGCGCCCGAGGAGGAACCGGCGGCGGAAGTGACATATGATCACGTTCGAAATGGATTGGTACGTATGTGGTACATGTTTCCAAGATGGTATTCTTAACCCCTTGGGTATTCTAACCCTTGTCAAAAGTTTTCTAAACAGTTTTCTAAAAATGGTTGTATCAGTCATGTTACAAGAGATTAAAAATAACAATTTTTATTCTAGCAAGTAAATGCTCTAAACAAGGGGACAGAAATGAATAATAGTATTAGTATGCCGCTGCTAAATGCGATGGACGATGACGATATTTCAAACACCAAAACACCAGATTATCAATTTTACGTGTCGTATGACTTTTACAAGAAGGACAACCCGCATTTTCATCGCAAGAATCTGTACGGCTTCCATCAAGGTAAAATTTGAATATTTAGTTATTCTAAGCACCAAGTTAAAAAACTAGAAGGAACTAAAAAATATATGTATTTAAATGTTTAAATGTAAATCGTTTGTTTCGTAAAATATTTTGAATTTGAAATTTTTAGTGAAACAGCAAGTACTTACGCCGCAACTAAATCACATATCAATGAAGCTGCCGTCTTTCCCGCTCCTGCCTGACAGACATCTTATTAAACCGAATCAATTTTGTAACTCCAGCACGGTCAAAGGATGCGAAAATGATTATTGCGCTTGCACTCACGTACTTCAGGTCAAACTTAACAGCGTAGTGGAGCTGGTTTTGATCGATGAAGGTATAAATGAGAATTTTCTTTTGTATTTCTGAGTGCACGAGTTTTGTCTCAGCTTCATTGCAAATGAATAATTTACGATAGGTATTCCATATGACGCGAATCATCCGTTTCACCTTCACGGTTATCAGTTCCGCGTTGTGGCTATGGAAAGAGTAGGAAATACCACTACCGCTGCTGAAGTAAAGGAATTGGACAGACAGGGTTTGATAGCCAGGAAACTTGCACAGGCGCCTTTAAAGGACACAGTGACCGTGCCTGACGGCGGTTACACCATCGTACGATTTCACGCCAATAATCCAGGTAAGATTTCACAATAGTAAACATATCTAAACATAAGGAAAAAAAAGGAAGAACTGCACTATTACTTATATAATCGATAAATAATCGGCGTTTGTCTTGTATTCCGCACATTGTTTTATTATAATTTCGTTTCTATTATATTTCGCGTATCTATCACGCAAACTTTAATGTCTAAAAAGAATATAACTAATTCAATAGAAAAATAAAATTCAGGTTTGTAAATTAAATACATCAAACATTGATAAAGCGCAATATTTATTGAAAAAAAATATACATTATTGATAAATATGCTTTTTTTTTCAGGATATTGGCTGTTTCATTGTCACATCGAATTTCACGCGGAAATAGGAATGGCACTTATCTTCAAAGTGGGCGAACACGAGGAGATGCCGCCCGTGCCTCGTAATTTTCCCAAATGCGGCGACTGGAAATCGACAGACGATCAGGCCGAAGGCTCGACAACCAGTACTTCCACTGCAATTTCTACGACGACTGAAAGGACAAAGTCCACAGATGATCTTACGAAAAAGATAGACCAACTTTTGAAATATTTTGAGCAGTTTTTTAAAATGCAAGCGACATCCTCGGCGTCCAGTTCGAGTGTAACATTGCTCCTTTTTCTCATTTGCTTATTGAGTTCTATAAAAGTGGAATTTGTTGCAGTTTAACAGAGTATCAGTAAGTAATAGACGTTGGCTATATTTAATAATTAATAATTGTTACTTATCTATGAAAATGCTATAAAGACAAAGAATGATTATTAATTATTAAGTATTAAAAACTAATATTTACAAGTATTAATATTTGTAGGGATATATTGTTCGTATTTTAACACTGATTGTTAGATATTTTATAAATCAATTCTGTGTGAAACTGACAAAGCTAAGATGAAATAGCAACTGAAATTTTAGAAGTGCCTTTACAATCACAAACATCGTCATCTTTATGTTAAATAAGTAAGCGAACATTATATTAATAAGTGATTTACATTACTGTGATATAAAAGTACATTATAATTATCGACTGCACTATCTGGCAATGCATATCTCATTTTAACACTTTTATTATCTTTAAAGATAGATCAGTTTTATTCCAATAATGGAATCAATTATAATATTTAAGTAACTTATTAAAAAAAAAAATTTTTTTAATTAAAAAAAAAGTGTTAAATAGGTGGACAGAATTTTAAACTGTTCCTCAGTTTAAAGCTACATAATGTTAAAAATTGCGTGGAGAAAAGGACTACAGTTTTTCGTTGAGAAGAAAATCGGTTCCAAATTGACCAAAAAATCTACCATTGAAATATAATCTGGTAGAAACAGGACGTTCTGTAGATTGCCACGAGATGTGCATTGCTACGGTAATTGCGCCACTGTGACCACATAAGTATACATAATGCATAATAATACAATCGGTAGATTATTCATAACGACATATCAGACGAATGAATGTATTCATATATATGCAAAGTATTTTACATATGTCAGATATATTTTTATATGCGTGTATGTGTATTCTTATTGACAAAGAGTGTATCATATATTTAAATATATGCAGGTTATCTCTGAGATTCGCGAAAAGTTCTTTACTTCGTTTAAAAACTATCATTGTTCCGATGTCATAAAAAAAATCATCATTTTTACAAAAACACTTGCGAAACATAACTCACTATTATTATGTAAACAAACCCATTGTTTATAGAAATCTATTCTTTTTAATCGAAATTTGTAAAAATATAATTGAGCAAGCTCAAAAAGAACTTTTCCTAAAGCAATGGCTAATCTCAGTGCAATTGATGTTACATACATATGACATTTGGAAAAATATTATTTTTTACTTTGTATGAGTTCTGATTGGTCTCTTCTATAAATTGTACATGTGTACGTGTAATTGTGTTGATCGAGCACTGGGGTATTCCCCAATGGACAATCCATATTACGACACGGTTGTCCGATATTGCTCGCTTTACCGGGAAACCCGTATGTCAAGCGTATCGGGAACAGTCACCGTCTTTCGGCTAGTCGTAACTTTACCTTCGTACCAGTTTAGAAGCATGCGACGATTGTCATAGTGATTGAAAGGATGCCGTGCAACGTTCGAAGACGTCTGTTGCAACAAACATCGTACCGCAACGAGGCAGTAAATGCTGTTCTGCAGAAATCCAAATTTTAACTTGTGGTAAGTTCAATAATATTATCAAGATTATCTTTAAGATGCAATGTTTAAATATTGGTCCCTCAATAACGTTTGAAAATCTTTTCTTTTATGTGCCTGTTTCAAATAGAATAGATAAAATGATAAATTGAAAAAACGGAGTTAAAGAATAAAGTTTATTGAACGTATTGTAATGATATTTATTTATCATCATGTTTTACAAATAATTTGTAAATCACATCACATGGTATTTATCTCAACATCTTTAAAAGCCATAAAAACGTACAGTAAACGAAACGAAATTACAATTTTAAGATGCATTTAGAAAAATCGGTGGGTAATTAATATGTGTATATAATTAATAATATCTTTGATAAAAATAACATTAATGTACGTTATTTGCTTTATGTTATGAACACAGCTTGTCCTCCTTACATTATTAAACTCCAAGATTTTCTCAAGAAGTACTTTCTCAAAAATTCAACAGCCTTTACCGATCAAATTTACAGATCAAAATACCTCAATTGAGAAATAATGAAAAAGTCACAAATTGATGAGAATTTGCGAACGCAAAGAGCAACCGATATCAATTGCGCGACGTCCTGTGAAAACGTGCAAGTTACGAAAAATGGCGTTGAAGAAAAAAACCTCGATTCTACAAAGTGTGAAACGCGCGTTGATATTAACAATTCGCAGGTCTGCGAAAATTCTGGAAGGACAAGGAAGAAGCAACGTCAATTAATGTGCGACTTCTGTCAAAAAGAGTTCAATCACACTGGAGATTTCAACAAGCATAGAAGAAAACACACCGGCGAACAGCCTTATACGTGTAACAAGTGTCAACAGAAGTTTTCGCATGCGTCTAACCTAGCCAGACATCAACGAGTGCACTCTGGAATAAGACCGTTCTCCTGTGAGATCTGCGGGCGCACTTTTTCCCGCAAGGATAAGTTCTCCGCTCATTTAGCAACAAAGCATCGCATCACAAAGCTTTATTAAAGTCTATTGATTTTTTGATATAATATATATTCTTTATATTGTAACAAAATGTAAAAACATATGATAGATTATAATAGTACATATAATCCCGAAATAACATGTTTTTATTTTAATTCGAGTATTTTACGTGAATGCTTTTGTTAGAAAAAAAGGAGAAAGTAATAGAATATATCTAAGAGTAAGATCTTAAATATTAATATCTAAAATCTCAGATACTTCGGAGTTCACCTGCATCGAGACATATGTTTGATTTGTTTATGACAGTCTTTCTAACTTATAAATCTATACAAAAATGGTTCTATTTATTTTACGATAATCGTAACAATAATGCAGTTACTTTTCTCCCTATTTATATAATGTAAAACCGATTTTAAAATATTACTATTTCAAATCAATACAACATTGTCTTGGAATTATATTATGCCAAAATGACTTTTTCATATAAATATAAGTTGCCTCCTAACAAATGTACACATCACTATACATTAGTATGCACTTCCTGTGTGGCTGTCATTGAATAAAGAGTGTAAGAAGCATCCTTCTGCAGCGGACGCTGCAGCGGATGCGCTAGCAACTTTGCCATATTGTCGTGAATTTTAGCAGCGTTTCTGCCTACCTCAAAGATGTAAGAAAAATTCGTTGTATCTAGAGCCGCGATTTCGGCGTATACCGCCTCGCACATATTGTCATCACTGAGTGGTTCGTGAACAAACAGCACATCCAGAAAGAAATATGGATTCTCCGTCAAATTCTCCAAATACTTCTGTCCAGTGTGAAATTTTGGAATAGAGTTCGATCGTCCGTATATTAGAATCACGCGTGAAACAAACGTCGGTTGATTCCTCGTTGGAATCGCAATCCGCGCGTGTATCGTCTCGAAGAGTTGTCCCAGATCATAGGTCTTCTGTTCTTCATCTGATACATCCTCCACAATATTCTCCAAGTGGTTAAGCACAGTCTTGATATTGGAGGTGTAGTCGCAGAGCCAAGACGCGTCGTGCGAATTCAAGCTCATTAGCGCGTACTCGTGTCCAGACTGTATGGTGGACTTGGCGCCGAGGAAATTCTCCACCACGCGTTTTATCATGAACAGCGGCGAGTAGGTCGCGCCTGTCCCAAGCTTGAAGGGTGTACATTGCCGTTCTTTCACCGTGTCGATAACGAATAGTATCCTTTCAGGCAGATTGATCTCGGGTAAGTTCTTCACGAAGATGTAGTCATCCGTAGCGACGGTGGTACTGGCGGTGCAAACCTTTTTGCCGTCCGCGGAATGATGCGCCGCGTCGTTATTATTGTTTTTTCGCGAGCTCTTCGCCTGTTGCTGTTGCTGCTGCTCACTACTGTGTGCAGTATTAATGGTCGTGGCTGATTGCAACTTCTCAGATATTATATGAATCTCATCGTTCGCGTCCTTGTCTGACATATTTATAACATAAATATTCGTGAGTTGTCTAACCTCTCTAGCCGCAGTTTGAGATGATAACTCGGCTTTCGAATATTGAATGCCTCAGAATGTTTCGAAACAATTCAAGATACTTCACATCGCACGTAGATTTCGTGTAATATCGGAATTCTAAATTGAATTATACTTAACTATGTCACAGCAATTGATTATAATACATAACAATGTAACGTGATGACATTGCTCGCTTGGTTGCGTTCAGAAACTACACCCGGGAGCACCCAACGCCGTTCAGAAACCAACTGAGAGTATCTCGACGCGACCTAAAGCCCGTATCAGACTGCGCATTAAAGATTGAAATTTGACCAATCGAAACAAAAGGAACTGAAAGTTCTTTATCCTGATTGGCCAAATTTCAATCTTTAATCTCAATGTTCAATGTGTAGTCTGATACAGGCCTTATACTTCACTCACTTTGTGCGCAACTCTATTCTAAACTATACAGCTGTAGTCAGTGGCGTTCCGTAGCGATCGGTCGGCTTAGGTCGGCTGCAAAATGATGGCGGATGAAAAATTGTTTTTCTCTAATGCCGTCCAACAATTGGCGAGATGTTTAGCCGCTATCAAGCCTACATCATGGGAGAAAGTGAGTAACATTTTTGTGGAATGAATTCGTTGATCGAACGATAATTTTTCAATGATTTAACAAACGATTGTCATTTTGCGCCGTCGTCAATTTTATGTATCGGGGTTAACCACAGGAAACGTCAGCTGATATCTTGACATATCATGTTATGACATAAGGACACTTCTACGATTATTACAGTGATTCATGATAATTGATATATATCGCTGTTCTGTAAAAAATTATAATTACAGCTCGCACTGTTTGAAAGACAGTGATAATATGTTACGTTAACACAAAAGTGGAGCTTACGTGGAGCTTACATTTCAGAGCATTATTTATGAAGTTTACAAAATAAAATTTATAAAATATTAAGAGACGTACTTTACCAAAGTTTATCAAATATTTTGATAGATTATCTAACAAATATTTAAGGAATATTTAATAATTTCTTTAAGTAATCGACTTTTTCTCTTTCTTATAATGTTGTTATTGCAGAAAATAGATCAATGTATTTTTATTTGACTATTTTTATTAAATTAACAAAAGCACTTTTTGTGCTTTATAGGTAGCCAAATTATACAAGTTATGTCCACAAGAATCCGGTCAGGGTGTATTTCGCTTGGATCAGAGGGGTCAGGATGCAACGATTGCACTGGGGATTTATTTTCTGGAGTCCGGTCTGCAGCACCGAGACCGAATTTTGCCGTATTTACTTAGATTGTTACGCGGTCTTCCAAAAGCGGTGTGGCGGGATGAAATAAGATGTTCGCTCACCGAGAGGGTTCCAATAGCAGAGCGCTTCAGCTTCTGCTTGAACACATTGCTGAGCGATGTGGCAGCCAGGTGCGAACCGGCACGGGAAGAGATCATCTCGACTCAGGTTGAAATACTCGCAGTATTGACGAATCTTATACGAGGATACAAGGATCAAAATAGTAATAGGGGCTTGCAAGCAAAGAGTAAGTACAAATACATATATTTGAATATAAATAATGTAGCTACCTTTTTATCATAAATTATGTAGTAATTTTGAGAAATAATTTAAAGAAATATAAATATTCTATTCTTCTGAGAAGTTCAAAGATACAGTTTCAATAAATTAAAAATATATACAAACTTAAAAAATAATAATTATAGTCGCAGGATTTTTTTATTATTAATGTGATGTAATTATAAATACTGTAGAATTTTATTTTGAGCAATATGTGTATATTATTTGATAAAAATTGAGAAACTGATCAATTTACCATTTTATTTGCCATTAATTATATTTTTGACATTACATTCCATTTTAGTATCATTATGCAAATGTCTGGTCCCGGTGCTGATTGGTCTTGCACGGTCAATGGGCCGCTTTGCGTGCACGGATCCGCCGTTGCTCTGCCGCATCTTTCCGCGGCGGGAGACACCCTCGCCGGCGGGCAGCGCGGAGAATCGCTCGATGCCCGACAGGAAACAGCACAGCTTCTCGAACTTTAGACCGATCATCCCGCGATCTCTGAGCGGTAACTTCAATACGATCGACAGTGCGTTGTTCGGCTACGACAGTCACGATTATCATTGCGGCAAAAGACCGTCGCTACAGTCCTTCCTGTCGGTGCCGTACGATCCGACGACCTATTTTTTCAGTCGTTACGGATCGAGTTTCAATCAGTTCCCGCAGATGCGCTGCAACGAGAGCCCCGAGAGACGGGCCGGGATGCAATTTACCGTGGTGCACCTGCAGAGCGTATTGGCTTTGGCGAAAAAGTTACTCACCAAGGAGATTCTCACGTTTCTAGACGAGGAGGCGCAACAAGTGCGTACCTTTAACGTTTTTGTCGCTTGATCGAATCGTTATAACCATAAATTCTAATTGCAATCATTTCAGGTCTACAGTTCCGGCCAAGTGCATATCTTTCCATATCGTACATTTAGCGAGACGATGAATCTAGTGATGGTGGCACTGTTGCGCGAGCTGCTGCAGAATCAGCGCGATTTACCAGCCCCGTTCACGAGGGACGTACAGGAATTCGTGAAGGGTCTGTTTCTCTCGGGCCAAACGGAACTGCAGTCGCGACAGCACGACGCGAGCGAGCGCGAGGATATCGACACGAATTTCCGCACCGTGAATCGCTTTAAGGTGAACGTGATGGCCAACTCCGCCTGCGTGGATCTGCTAGTCTGGGCGATCGGTGACGAAACAGGTGAGCACGCTTGTTTCGCCGTTGGCGAAAGAAAGAAATTCGCAAGCGGCGAAAGCATCGTCTAACTAAAATTTAAGAACACAACACTCACAAGAGTAAATAATCTGTATATTACGAAAGCGTTTCAACGAATGTGTTCGTAATTCTAAGTGCATGGATAGTGTGAGAAATCGACGTTTGTTTGCGCCCAACTGCAGATTTTGTTAAAGCTCTCACATTATTTTTCCAGTATCCGGCGAATATGATTTGTCCGCGCTGTATGCAGATATCAGTTCAATGCTGATCGGCAAGGGTATATTGATTTACCCGTGTGTGCTACTTTCTCGTGTCTTTAACACGTCATTAGTAGTTACTAACAAACATATACCTTCGCTTAGTAGCATAATAATAACGTGCTGATCGCTCCTCACGTAAATTTAACATATTTAACATGTTCAATTGAATGGATGTTGAATCAGTAAATTAACCTGAGACTTGCGTCGTGCGTACCCCCTGTCGAGCTGGCCGCCCCACCTTGCACAAATATAAAAACCAATAGCGCAAAATTATAAGCTATTTTTCGATATCGACTCAGCTTCCCCACAAAAAACATTAAATTCATGCTCAGCGTGACGAGCTCAAAAATTTTAATTTGCGGAATATGAAAGCTCATAAATAGCTTATAATTTTGAGCTATTGATTTTTTTATTTGTGCAAGGGGGGGGGGCAGCTCGACAGGAGTGCGTTTTAGTAGAAAAGTTGATTTTTCTTGAAATTGTGAATTTTTTATACATCAGCTTCTTAAAGTATATTTCTTGTATACAGATTTACATTGAAAAAAGCTCTTGGAAAGAGCTCTTATTTCTAATGTGTCTTGTTTGAGTAACCAGTATCGATAATTTGCAACAAATATATCGATATTTATGTATTTAAGCTTGTAAGCAGTTTTACACATTGATTCTTAGGTGCGGATAGTTTGTGTGGACGACTCGTGGAGAAGATTAATTCTAATCACGGACCCAAGCTCGTGTTGGCGCACATGCCGTTATTGATGGTTTGTCTAGAAGGATTGGGAAAATTGGCGCAGAAATTTCCCAACATAGCCAGCACGTCTATATATTATTTACGGGATTTTCTTATCGCACCGTCGCCGATTCTTCTGAAACTGCATCGACAGCACAGTGAATTTTCCACGAAAGAACATCAGTTTAAAGTGCTCGGTAAACAGTCCGCTTTATTTATATCCACGTTAATTATAAAATTATTATTGATTATATTGAAGTACAATAAAAATATACATATACTGAAATGCGATATTAAAACAGTTCAAGGGAAGGAAATAAACGACACGAAGCAGACGACGTCATCGGTGCAAACGGCGTTCGAGAAACTCCGCGACGCAGCAATCGGCAATCTCTGCATCGCTTTGGAAGCTGCACATTCTGTGAATCCAGATTGCGTGCCAGCGCTCGTGGCCAGCGTATCGAACAGATTGTACACTGCGGCGGACATAAGCGATGGGTACTTTTCAACGCAAAAGTCTATTAACACTTCTTTTTTTTTTTATAAACGACAAAGCGAATTGTATTTTCAGCGAGAATGACGAGAAGTTGAAGAACGAGGTGGTGTCGAGAAACATCGTGATCATGTTGGGTCACGTAGCCGTGGCACTGAAGGACACCCCGAAGACGATGCGCACAATCTTCCCGTTTTTCCAGCAGCTCTTCTGTCGCACTCCCAGCGACCTCGACTTCCTCATAGTGGATCAGTTGGGCTGCATGATCATCGCTAAGTGCGAGCCAAAGGTCAGTGGCACTTGTAACGTTTGGAGTCACTTATCTGCGCGCGAACGAAGGCTTTTCGGATGATCGATTACCGAAGTGCTCGTTGCGCAGATTTACGAGGGGATAATGCAAATGTTCTCCATGTCGTTGGGCTCGAGCACGGCAACGTACGCCGCGAACGACGACCGCAAGCAGTTTTGTCACGTTTCCAAAGCGGTCACGAACGCGCTGGCGAACATAGCGGCGAATCTGCACGGCGAGTCGGAGCTGGACGACTTGTTGCTGCACCTGCTGGAGCTTTTCGTGCAATTGGGGCTCGAGGGCAAACGCGCCAGCGACAAGATGCCGAATAGTATCGCTGCAACGGTGAGATAAAATAATTATTCTATACAAAATTCTGTACAAAAAGCAAGAAACGAGAAGAAAATACTATTTTATATGATGCAGAAAGCGGCTACCAGTGCCGGAAATCTAGGAGTGCTCATCCCCGTGATTGCGATACTGGTGCGACGGCTGCCGCCGATCAGACACCCGCAGAAGCGACTTCTGAAATTGTTCAAGGACTTTTGGCTATACTGCGTTATAATGGGCTTCGCCGCTGATCATCCTTCGCGATTGTGGCCGCCCGACTGGTACGAAGGCGTCAAGGAGATCGCCGTCAAGTCGCCCTATCTTATCTCCCAGACCAGTGCTCGTCTGGAAATGCGGGAACTGCAGTACACGTCCGCGGTGCGCAACGACAGCGTCTCGTTGAATGAATTGCAGGAGCTGCGGAGTCAAGTGTTGAAAATAAGCACGCGGTATGATTTATCTTAAATTGCATCTCTTGGGTCTTTAATCTAAAATTATTTAATAAATGAGTGAACAAACAGCTTAAATTGAAGACTAGATAATAGATATTATATTTTCGCAAGATACTTTAATTTCAAAGCTGCTATAAAATTTCTTACGATTTCTCTTTCAGCACGAATGACATATCAGCATACGTGACCAAGCTGCAGTTCGCACAATGCACGTACTTATTGTCCGTTTACTGGTCGGAAACCCTGCGAGTGGCGAACAGCCCTGAGCCCAGTCTGCAACCGATAATGGAGTACCTGTGCGACACCGATTTGCAGAAGGACAAGAGCGGCATGTGGCAGTGCATATGCTGCGTGGCCGACTCCGTCTTCGCGAAATTCAAGGATGTGATGCAGCGCAAGCCGAAGGACGAGCAGCGCGAGAGGGAGCTCGAGAATCACGCGCAGTTCTTGTTAGTGCGCTTCAATCACGTGCACAAGCTGATCAGGCGAGTGGCGGACAAATATCTCAGCGCGTTAGTCGACGCTTTTCCGCATCTGTTGTGGAACTGCAAGGTTCTTTGGAGTATGCTGGATATATTGCAGGTACATTTATCGTTTTACATGTATATATTTTTTTTCAGACCTTTTTTTACATACGCGATTGTTGCAGATTTTATCATATTCCTTGCAACTTGATCCAAACGAAGAAACTCCCAGCTTGAGAATACCCGGTACACCGTACAGCATCGAACTGATGAATACTATCGAAGCGCGAGAAGTAAGTGCGAATGCGACATCGTTATGTGTCATTTCATACCGTTAAGATGAAGCGGATTCTACGATATCGTGCAACTTGCAGATTATCGTGAAAGATTTTACCGCGAGATGTAAAGGCATAGTGCAGGAGGCTATGAAATGGGCGCCACAGGCTACCAAATCCCACCTGCAAGAATACATCAATCAGATACCGTCTTCTGGCATGCGGCATCATTCCGGTCTGTCGCTGGCCATCGACTCGGTCCTCGAATTCGTGGACACTGCAATTCCCATTGCAGTGCCGGCAAATGTACGTAATGATGTTTCACTATGATATTTCAAGCTCTATGATTTATTTTAGTTGTTATTCTAGGCGTGTTTCGTTTAGCCTGCGTGCGTCAAACTTTTATGAAACACACTCCGTATTTTATGTATTGAGAAATGACAGCTATTATCACTAATTAAGTATATAATCAAATTGAATTATAGACGAATTCGTTGGATAAGAGGCCACGCGGTCCGAAAGGTGCGAGCTCCTGGCTGCTGTCGATGATGTCGACGAGATCGTGGCACGCCGGCGAGGTGGCGGGCATGCTCGCTCTCGCGCGCACCGAATCGCCGACGACGGAAGTGACTCTGGAAGAGTGCAGGGATAAAGTCGTCGAAAGATTGATCGAAGCTGTGCGCCGCGCTTGTCAGGATTGCGACGACACCGTTCATCGCGGAGCTCTTTGGCGTGCCACCGCTCTCTTAATCTCTATGCCTGGTAAGCTAGCCGAGTTTCGCGATGATAATCTATTCGTAAGTCAATTTTGCTAATTTAATTAATTATTCCATTACATTATTAATTTCATTATTTGTATTTTCAGGAATACATAGACGACTGTTGCACATCGTCGCGTGCTCGCAGATAGAATTGTTCACGTCTGTGGCGATGACTACTGCGGTCGAGTGCTGGCAGTGGATCCTAACTGTGCGACCGGACCTGAAGCTGCGATTCTTGCAGGAGATGCTGCTCGCGTGGCAATACACTGTCGATAAGAGAATGGGTCTGTTCGCGCCGAATGAGGAGGAAGTGAGTCCGCTCGCGGTCTACGAGGGCTGTAAGCTCGGACCCAATCCGCCGCACGTGAAGCCGCACGACATCTGGGTGACATTCATAGTGGAGCTCGTCGAGACAGCCAAGTATTGCTGCCAGGAGACGGTCGATATGATCGCCCTGCTGCTGCATCGCTCGCTACTCATGACTGTCGGTGCGTCTGGCGAGGAGCCCGGCATCAATCGACACGTCGCCGCGGTCGGCGTGCGCTTTAAGCTCCTCTCGTGCGGATTGGTGCTGTTGCAAGGTGACGTTCTACCGAGGTAATGTATTCTCCTTGTTTTCGGTAAATCGGAATGACGACAAAGAAATAGAAAATAATTGAATCTATTCGTTAAGTAGAACTTTGAGCAAGAACGTTCTGCGAGAACGCGTGTACTCCAATTGCCTGGATTACTTCTGCCGAGAACGCCAGTTGCCGACACAAGAGATCGACCAGCTTAGTGAAGATATCGTTACTCTGATACGCTTCTGGCAGGTGAGTGCAACGTATCACGCCACTTTTTCAATTAAGACACAAATAGTATTTATATTTTATGATTAATTTTAAATGATTGATAACTGTAATTCATAAGTAATTTATAAAACGGAATTTATATTTATATTTTATTTATAAAATCTTTACGAATATCTCCTTTATTATCTCGATAACTGCATTTAGTTCTGTTTTTTGCGTAAGTATATAAAATTGTTTCATGTATTTCTCACAGGTGATGCACAGCGACAAGAAGTACTTAATGATGACGGGAGCCGATAACGAGTTTGAGATAGTGACATCTCAAACCTATACAACTACGATGATGGTTCCAAGCGAAACGATCGGCTCGCTAGCCGCCACGCTAGCTCCCACGCCGAACGACTACTCGAAGTCTGGCAACGTGTGGATGAACACCATGCCGATGTCAACCAGCAGCAACACATTGGGCAAACGCAGCAATCGCAGCAAGCGAGTTGTAAATGCAAACATCCTCGTGAAGGATTACATCAAGAAGAGAAACTTGATCCTTGAGTTGTTAGCGGTTGAAATCGAAATGTTATTGGTGAGTTATTCGAGAAATTGTAAATATATGAAACTGTAAGATATTTTTGGTGAAAAAATCAGCTTTCCTAAATCTCATATTTTGTTAAGGTCTGGCGTAATCCTGGCGGCCGACCGGAACTTGCGCTGCAAGGAGAAGGAAGTATCGCGGACTGGCGTGCCAAAGGAATGAACGATCGTTGGCGCGAATACACGCGGCTCGCGTGGGAGATCAGTCCTGTCTTGGCAATATTCTTGCCAGTGCGATTGAAGAATCATGAAGTCATTATCAAAGAGATCTGCGGCTTGGTGCGCCTTAAACCCGTACCGGTCATGCATGTGTCGGAAGCATTGCAGTATCTCGTCACGACGGACACGCTACTCAATGACGTACCTGAAGTAAGTTTAGTAATGTTTAAATTAGCTGTTAAATCAATATATTTCATACTTTTTATGATATTAGTAATTAGAAAGTGTTTGTAAAATTATACTCATTCCGTTTTAGTTAGTTTATATGTTAACCTGGGCAAGAGTGTCTCCGATTCAAGCACTGGCGTTCTTCTCGCGACAATTTCCGCATCATCCTATCTCGGCGCAGTACGCGGTACAGGTGTTGGACAGTTATCCAGCCGACGCTGTGCTTTTCTACATACCTCAGCTAGTGCAAGCCGTCCGTCACGACACAATGGGCTACGTAATTGAATTTATTAAGAAGATCGCTAAACGATCGCAGGTAATAAGAATTGCGATTAAATGTGGAAGTCTAACAGAAAAAAAAGTCTTTTTTTACCTCCATCTTATTTTTATTTAATGTATTTCAGGTAGTGGCGCATCAGCTGATATGGAATATGCACACAAACGTATACATGGACGAAGATAAGCAAATGAGGGATCCTGTGCTGTACGACATTCTAGATTTACTGACGAAGAATATTCTGAACGCACTGTCCGGCCCGGCGAAACAATTCTATGAAAGAGAGTTTGACTTCTTCGAGAAAATTACCAATATTTCAGGCGAAATTCGACCATATCCTAAAGGACCGGAACGGAAGGCTGCGTGTCTGGAAGCCTTGGGAAGAGTCAAAGTACAGCCCGGTTGCTATCTACCGTCAAATCCTGAGGCGATGGTCATCGATATAGATTATCAGAGCGGTACTCCCATGCAGAGGTGCGATTAAAAAAGATCACTGCAAAATAATGATTTATATGACGCGTTATGTTGTAAAATATTACATAATTGTCTTTCAATTGCAGTGCCGCTAAGGCGCCGTTCTTAGCGCGCTTCAAAGTGCAGAGATACGGCATCAATGAGCTCGAGAACATCGCGCTCGCGGTGTCGACTAACGGGAAAGTCGAGAACAAAAAGGAAGCGGAGGAGCAAACGTGGCAGGCTGCTATTTTCAAGGTCGGCGACGACGTTCGGCAGGATATGCTGGCTCTGCAAGTGATCAGCATCTTTAAGAACGTGTTCCAGAAGGTCGGATTGAATCTCTTCCTGTTTCCGTACAGAGTGGTGGCCACAGCTCCCGGGGTAGGATATAATATCAATTTCTTGCACGACAGATTGTGTTTTCAACAAATTAATACGTCATTTATAATTAAATTCGTATGTTATCAGTGCGGCGTGATAGAATGTGTGCCGCACGCTACGTCGAGAGACCAGCTCGGCCGTACAACAGACAGCGACATGTATCAATACTTCATTACGCAACACGGCGACGAGACGACCAAGGAGTTCCAAAACGTTCGTCGCAACTTCGTCAAGTCGATGGCTGCCTACAGCGTGATCACCTACCTCCTGCAGATAAAGGACCGTCACAATGGCAATATTATGATAGATACTCAAGGCCACATCATACACATTGACTTTGGCTTTATGTTTGAGAGCTCGCCCGGCGGTAATTTGGGCTTTGAGCCCGACATCAAGCTCACCGACGAGATGGTGCTTGTGATGGGCGGCAAAATGGAGGCCGCACCGTTCCGTTGGTTCATGGAACTGTGCGTGCAAGCTTTCCTCGCAGTCAGGTGAGCAAATAACTTCATTTTTTAAATATTTATAACACAGGATGTCTGCAACTATATTCATATTGATGTTTAGATATATCTTCAATTAATATTGTGCAATGAAATATTCTTTATTAAATATTTTCTTATTTTGTAGGCCATATCAGGAGGCCATCATCTCCCTCGTTTCCCTCATGCTCGACACGGGATTGCCGTGCTTCCGTGGGCAAACCATTAAACTTCTACGCAGTCGATTTGTGCCGACCGCCACCGATCGTGACGCGGCGATCTTCATGATCAATGTTATACGCAACAGCTACCTCAACTTCCGCACGAAAACTTATGACATGATACAGTATTATCAGAATCAGATCCCCTATTAAACTGTTGCCGGAGAATTTACTTCCCCTTTCACTCCATCCTCGTAATTGTTAGTTGGCGGCGTTTTGCGTTCGCTACGACTGTTGTTATATCGGGTTAGAAACGGGCATCGTGATGCACCGAGTTGTTAGATATCGCAGTATAACCGCTGATTCTGCGAAACTGTACAAATGCATTGGTGTCAATATTTTTTTTAACCCTACATGTATTTTATGAAGACATTTCGCTCTGTATATGTATGTAATAATGTATTATATTTATCTACAAGATTGTCTATATACACATATATGTATACGTGTACATCTGCCTTACGCAGCATATCTGTATATGAGTACATTCCTGTTTATTATTAGTTTATGCGCTGTTAATGGTTAAAGATTAAATTAAATTAATTTAACTAATGGTGACTTATTTCAAAATTAGAATAACAGGAATATCTCTCTAATTTAAACTAATTTTGACAATATAAAATAAAGCAAATTTTTTATTTCAACAAAGATTGTAATTGTTAACAATTAATTGTTAACATAAATAATAAGTTCAAATTTGCAAATATATGTATCGATAAAAATTGATACAGAAATGCATGGAGAACATTTTAAAACTTGTTCCATTTCGAAGTTTACTGCGTTAATTCTTTTAAATCGTGTTCTCCTAATATCTCGAATGCAACTTCTTAATTTGAATATCAGAACTCGTTTCACATTGCTTAGCTAATAAGCTCAGCTCTTATCTAATATGTTTCTCGCATATCAAAATGTTCATGGATCGACTTTTGACCAGTTCGATTTTTGACCAGTTCAACGATTGTGTAACAATTAACCAGTCGTCAAACTATTGATCGCTGTGTCTTCTATGGTCGTCTAAACGTAGACGACGTATGTTTACGTACTAAATTTGAGGTTAACTATTTTAATTGCAATTTGTGCTGTTTCACAAGCTGTTGGTTAAAAAATCAATAAATTTTTTGAAGAAACATGTCGGGTTCAGTTAAACATCGAACTGTTACACCGCTAATAAAACTTATTCAAGATATTGGACGAGGTGTAAGTGATGACATTTACTCTAATTATGTAATATTCTTTATATTCTTTTATTTATTTTATATATTGTATTATATATATTAATTAATTTATTAATATCACACACAATACTGTTTTCTGAATAAAATAAATCATTTATTTGAGAAATGAACAATTTATCTGTAATATCTGTTGACGAAAGGTTATGTTCATAAAAAATATTGAACTTTATTTAGAGATTAAATTGATAAGCACTTAATTAATATTAAAAGTATTTTACTTGCAAATTATATTTGCTTGTTTTTAATCTATTTGCATGTCTTCTTGATGGAAAAATGTAATAGAAGTTTTAGAGTTCTAGAGAATTAAATGATAAAATCTTGTAGTAAACATTATATTATTAATTGAAAGTAATATAAGTATTTTAGTTTAGTAATATGATAATATATTTTTAAGATTTTTTATTTACATGTTGCAGAGAAAAGTTGTGTTAGCCAGTAGATATGCTGATGAGCAAGCTGCTCGTACTCAACCTCCACCAGATATACCTGGAGGTCCATATCATAAAACTTTTGAAATTTATTATTATGCACGAGATGCCAGAAGAGAAGTTCAACCACCATTACTAATTAGCGGATCGAAACAAATTGGCAAAGAGTAAGTATAATTGTCAATAAGTTTGTACATTAAATGTACATTCTTATTTTTTGTTCCTTTTTGATCATAAATGTATATTAGAATAATTTTGAAAAAAATAATATAAAATAATACAAAAGATTTGATATATAAATCTTTATATATAAAAGAAATTCTGTTTTATGAAATAAATTTCTAAGCTATTTTTTTTACATATCATATATTTTTTATTTTCAGGGAAAAGGTTCCAGAAAAGAAGTATTTTACTCCAGCAAAACCTTATAATTGGGATGCTTAATTTTAGAATAAAAATAAACATGTCAGTGATGTTATGTCACAAACCATATCGTAACATTGTTCAGTTACAGGTTTGTTGACTTGATTATTGTATATAGAAAATAGATTAAGCTATTTAATGAGTGCTGCAATATTTTTTTCCACTACATCCATAAATAAT